TCAAAAGAAAAATTAGGAACAAAATTTTAGACCCCGGTGATTGCTTAGATATGGCAAATGGAGAAGAGGAAAATGTCAAATTTCACTCTGAAATTTCACTCTGGCTTGGTTGAGTGAGTGGAAAATGCTATTAACAGAGATCAGAGGAGGGGAAGGTTTTGGTCAGTGGAATAAGCTTAGTTTAGAGACACTAAAACGGATCTCACTCCTTGATTTCTGACTGTATCTGGATCACAGTGCCAGGAATACTGAGCAGGGCATGTCCCTGAGTTGCAAGCTCAGCAGTAGACTGTAAGGCCAAGGCAGTCTAGGGAGACAGAGCAATGCTAGAAAGATCATTCCTTTAGCAGTTTACCAGTCTAGTAGTTTTTTTGTTTGTTTGTTTGTCTGTTTTGAGACGGAGTCTCGCTCTGTCGCCCAGGCTGGAGTGCAGTGGCCGGATCTCAGCTCACTGCAAGCTCTACCTCCCAGGTTCAGGCCATTCTCCTGCCTCAGCCTCCCCAGTAGCTGGGCCTACAGGTGCCCGCCACCACGCCTGGCTAATTTTGTGCATTTTAAGTAGAGACGGGGTTTCACCTTAGCCAGGATGGTCTCAATCTCCTGACCTCGTGATCCGCCCGCCTTGGCCTCCTGAAGTGCTGAGATTACAGGCATCGCCACCACGCCCGGCGTAGTGTAGTAGTTTTACCAGGCAACCTCAAAATAACTGGCATTTAGGAAACAGGGGGAAAGGGAAGTATCATCCCTGAGCTCCACAGCGTTTTGCTGGAGTGAGAGCTAGACGGAAAACACCAGGGAAGCCCATCACATAAGCACACTACAGGGGGAAGAGGGGGAAGAGGGAAGCTCAGCCAGCACTCTAGGTCCCAGTGTGTTCAACTCAGATAGAGGAGCCACTGAAAGAGGAAGAACAAGTGATGCCCTTGCAAACAGTCACTTGTGGGGGAGACACTCGCCTTATTTCAAAAAAAACTAGCAAGGGGTGGAGTCGACATTTTTTCTACATATCAGGCTTTCAGTTAGGAGCTTTATGCACATTATTGTATTGAATCTTCGAAACTTCTCAGGCAGGAAAGCATTATTCTTCCTACTCAGGCAGGTTAACTTGATCAAGTTAAGCCAAATTAATCCTTGAACTGGGATTCAAGGATGCAGGTCTATCTGACTTTGAAGCTTATTCACATTTCATTATATCAACTACTTAAAGAAAATATACTAAAAAGTTTCATCTTTCATTTTTAAAATGACGCTACCGGCCAGGCACAGTGGCTCATGCTTGTAATCCCAGTGCTCTGGGAGGCCACGGCGGCGGCAAGATCCCTTGAGGTCAGGAGTTCGAGACTAGCCTAGGCAACATGGTGAGACTCCGTCTCTACAAAAAATTTGAAAAAAAAAAAATAGCTGGGAGTGGTGGCACATGCCTGTAATCCTGGCTACTGAGGAGGCTGAGGCGGGAAGATCACTGGAACCCAGGAGTTTGAGCCTGCAGTGAGCTATGATTGTACCATTGTACTCCAGCCTGAGTGACACAGCGAGGCCCTATCTTTAAAATAAATGAATAAATAAAAATGATGCTATCTCATCAAGGAGACTGTTTCTGAACTGGGTGTTTCATTGGCCAGAGAGAGGTTATGTTTGCAGTAACTCAGTCACAAAGCCTCAATTAATAGGCACAAGGAATATATTTACCAGCCGTGTATCTGAAGCTAAGGAGGCCATCAGTACCATGAAGCCTCATTAAACAACACATTCTGAATTGACCAGCCGCCAACACAGTACGCCTATAACTATGACGTGAGTGACTTTGTGAGGATAACCCCACTACTAAAATTAAGTTTTGATTGAAGTTTTGGTTAAGAGGCAATCATAAAAAGAGTAAAAGACGGGAAAAGATTCTGCAGAGGAGCTATCCTACTGCCCTGGATGACAGGCACAGAATGCTATGAAATTGATTCACTATCTTATGCATTCCTTTGTTACTATTAGCACAGTGAGAGGCAGCATAGTGTAAGCATTAGAAGTACAGACTCGGGCCAGGCACGGTGGCTCACGCTTGTAATCCCAGCACTTTGGGAGGCCGAGGCTGGTAGATCATCTGAGGTCAGCAGTTCGACACCAGCCTGGCCAACATGGCGAAATCCCGTCTCTACTAAAAACACAAAAAATTAGCTAGGCGTCGTGGTGAGCACCTGTAATCCCAGCTACTTGGGAGGCTGAGGCAGGAGAATTGCTTGAACCCGGGAGACGGACGTTGTAGTGAACCAGGATGGTGCCACTGCGCCCCAGCCTTGGCGACAGAGCAAGACTCTATCTCAAAAAAAAAAAAAAGTATAGACTTTTGGGCCGGCATGGTCGTTCACGCCTGTAACCTCAGCACTTTGAGAGGCCGAAGCTGGAGAATCACTTGAGCCCAGGAGTTTGAGATCAGCCTAGGGTAACATAGTGAGACCCTGTCTCTAAGAAAAGGACAATAAGAAAAAAAAAAGCGCAGACTCTGGTGCCGAACTGCCCAGATTTGAATCCAGTTCTGCCAGGGATTTGCTGTACAACCTTGGCAAGTTACTTACCCGTCCATTTCTCAGCTTTCTCATCTGTGCCACAGTGATAACAGTAGTACCTACTGCATACAGTAGTAGTCATAGGATTAAAGAAGTTAATGCAGTATTCATGTCTTAATACCTTAAAACAATACCTGGCATGTGGTAAATAGTGTTTGTTACATACATTAAAAAAGTAACTAACTCAGGCCGGGCACGGTGGCTCATGCCTATAATCCCAGCACTTTGAGAGGCCGAGGAGGGTGGATCACAAGGTCAGGAGATCGAGACCATCCTGGCTAACACGGTGAAACCCCGTCTCTACTAAAAATACAAAAAATTAGCCGGGCGTGGTGGCGGGCACCTGTAGTCCCAGCTATGCAGGAGGCTGAGGCAGAAGAATGGCGTGAACCTGGGAGACGGAGCTTGCAGTGAGCCGAGATCGCACCACTACACTCCAGCCTGGGCAACAGAGTGAGACTCCGTCTCAAAAAATAAAAATAAAAAAATAAAAATAAAAATAACCTAGCCTCCCTCACATGAAGTGGTGCAGGGAAATCAAAACAATCCTAAAACGTGTTTAGAATTTACATGTGACCTCTCGCATGAGGCATTTCACAGACATCTGTAAGAAGAATAAATAGACAAATAGGCAAAACAGAAACTGAAGTATGGAAAAGGGAAGTAAAATGTTCAGTTTCACTTAGTACAATCATTCTCAGATCTCAGGCAGGAGCCCCAAAGTCCTGTTAGTCCAGGTTTTGTTCAACAGGCCACTTTGCACATAAAAGTAGAGCCACCCTTAAAAAGAGCAAGTCTTCACTCAGGAACGTCTCATGAATCTTCCCTTGTTGGTATTTTCTCAGAGGTAAATATTCTGCTTCTAGTTTTTGGACCCCAGCTGCTCCTGAGACCATCATTATATCTGAAACTGTTTCTAAATGTCAAGCGAGGTCAGGCCTGGTGGCTCACACCTGTAATTCCAGCACTTCGGGAGGCCGAGGTGGGGGAGAATCGCTTGAGCCCAAGAGTTAGAGACCAGCCTGGGCAATATGGTGACAGCCTGTCTCTACAAAAAAAGTTTTTAAAATTAGCCAGGTGTGGTGGCTGGCACCTATAATCCCAGCTACTTGGGAAGCTGAGATAGCAGAATCGCTTGAGCCCAAGAGTTGGAGGCTGCAGTAAGCCTTGTTCACGGCACTGCACTCCAGCCTGGGGCACAGGGTGAGACGCTCTCTCAAAAAATAAAACAATAAATGTCAAGTATGACTCCCTCATGCCACACTCCTGCTCTCGCCTGTCAGCATTCCAGTCTGTTTAAAAGATTTAAGACCAGAGTTATTAATGAAGCAAACCCTAAATGTGGAAATCATCTCTACAGACTCCGATTCCTCATTTACTCAAAGCAGTTTGGTGTTTTTTCGGTTTTTCGTTTTCTGAAGACAGGGTCTTCCTCTGTCGCCCAGGCTGGAGTGTGGTGGTGCGACCTCGGCTCAATGTAGCCTCGACTTGTTGGACTCGGGCGATCCTCTCACCTCAGCCTCCCGAGTAGCTGGGACCACAGCTGAGCACCACTACGCCCAGCTAATTTCTGTATTTTTGTGGAGACGGGGGTCTCCCTAGGTTGCCCAGGCTGGTCTCAAACTCCTGGACTCAAGCGACCCGCCTCGGTCTCCCCCAAAGTGCTGGAATTACAGGTGTGAGGCACCGCACCCGGTCCACAGCAGTTTTTCTATTTTCTATCCCCCAATTTCTAGAAGACATGAACTCTCTGACAACGGCTCCATAGAAATACACGTGAACTTGCTTAGTTTGCATTGTGAGGAAGAAGTGACAGGTCTGAAGACGAAAGGAAATGACACAGAGGTCCTGCCACTCTGACAGCGACTCGCCAATGACAAAGTGCGGAGTTTCGGGTCTCTGGGCAGCCCCCACCCCCACCGCACCGCCATGACACTCGCTCCCTTCCTCCCCGGGCTCTCGTCGCCTTCCTCCCCACGCTCACTCCGCCTCAGCTTCTTCCTAAGCCACTCACGACGCTTCACCTCCGCGCCCAGGACTTCTTACCGCGCCCTCCTCCTCACGTTGGCCCCACTTGCAGCCACGGCAAGTTCCAGGCAGGGTGGCGCCCGGCCCTGTCCGCAGACTCCGGCCTGTGAAGCCTCCCTCACCGCGCTGCAGCCCCTCCGGCCTCTTCGCCGTCGCTCTCGGCGGCCACCTCCCCTCTGAGCTTCCCCCTCCTCGGCTCCCCCGGCCCTCCGCAAATCCCACCCGCCCGCCTTCGTCCCATCCCCGCCCCGCCCGCCCCTCCTCTGCGAAATGCTCCCCAGACAAGTCCTCTGCAGCCGTCGTCCTCAACACTCGTCGCGCCCGGCCCTTCTCTCCGTGGCCCCGCGCCCTCCCAAGCCTCCCGGGGCTCCGGCGCCTGTCGCTGCCCCGACTCCGCGGCCGCTCCCAGCCCACCTGCTCTCCTCAGCCAGGCGCTCCTCGCCGCCTCCGAGCTCCATTCCCGCGCCCTCCGGCCGCATCCGGGGCGGCGAGGCCGCCTCTTCGCCCAAGAGAGGCGCCCCCGCCGCTTCGCCCTTCAGGGCTCCCGGGGGCCCCTGGGGCCGGAGGAGGCACCCACGGCCGGTGGGCTCCGGGTGATGCGCTACACACGGGCGGCGGCAGCGGCGGCAGACACAGCCGCCTGGGTTGCGGCTTCTATCCCGGCCACCCCCACTTCCGGCTCCGGGGACTACAGCTCCCGGCAAGCCCTTCGAGACCAGGCCGCTCCCGCAGGCCGCGCCCTCCAATCCCAGGCCTCCCGCAGGCCGCGCTCCTCCAACCCCAGGCCCCTCCCGCAGGCGGCGCCCCCCAATCCCAGGCCCCTCCCGCAGGCCGCGCCCTCCAATCCCAGGCCGCGCTCGCAGGCCGCGCCCTCCAATCCCAGGCGGCGCTCGCAGACCGCGCTCCTCCAACCCCAGGCGGCTCCCGCAGGCCGCGCCCTCCAATCCCAGGCCCCTCCCCAATCCCAGGCGGCTCCCGCAGGCGGCGCCCTCCAATCCCAGGCGGCTCCCGCAGGCGGCGCCCTCCAATCCCAGGCTGCGCCCTCCAACAACCCCAGGCCCCTCCCGCAGGCCGCGCCCTCCAACCCCAGGCGGCTCCCGCAGGCCGCGCCCTCCAACCCCAGGCCCCTCCGGCAGGCGGCGCCCTCCAATCCCAGGCCGCTCCCGCAGGCGGCGCCCTCCAACCCCAGGCCGCTCCGGCAGGCGGCGCCCTCCAATCCCAGGCCCCTCCCGCAGGCCGCGCCCCCCAATCCCAGGCCGCGCTCGCAGGCCGCGCCCCCCAATCCCAGGCCCCTCCCGCAGGCCGCGCCCTCCAACCCCAGGCCGCTCCAGCAGGCGGCGCCCTCCAATCCCAGGCCGCTCCGGCAGGCGGCGCCCTCCAATCCCAGGCCGCGCTCGTGGACTACGCGCACCCAGTGGCTGGCGGGGCCGGCTCGCGAGCGGCGGGGACGGTGGTCTCAGGGATCCGTGCCGGGGTGGGCCCGTATTTACCCGCGTCACATTCATTACACGCTGGAGACCGAACTCAGTCCGAGATGTAGACTAGGCAATAACGCTGCTCTAATCCCGGCACGATTAACCCCACCTAGCCCGCCCTGGCCTAATGTCCGCCGCTGGTCTTTGGAGATCTCGAGCATTTAAATGAAGCGCTCGCAAGTAAGAGCACAGGTTGCTCTGGGATCGTGAAACAGCGGGGGAGAAAGGCTTCTGGGGGCTCTCGGGAGAGGGATGTCAGCGCAGAGTTCTGAAGGCTGAGTACGGGTGAGCCAGGAGCGAGAAGAGAAGGCGGAGAGAGCAGCACGGCAGAGGGAAGGAAGGAAGCGCGGTTTGGAGACTGCAGGTGCTGGCAGCCGGAGCTGGGACGGAGTGAGCAGCAGCGTGGGGTGGGCGTTCTGGTGTGGGGAAACCAGGTCGTGAAATGCCATGTTAAGGAGTTTGGATTGTATCCTGAAAACAATCAGCAAATCAAGTATATGCAAATCAAGAAGTGATTTGGTCGAATCTGATGAGAAAACCACTTTTGACAATGTGGACAGGAGATGGGGAAGATATAGCACTATATTGAGGTAAGGGTGGAAGGCTGGATAGAGGAGACTGGTCGTCCTTAAGAAGTGAAGCGAACCAGTTGAAAGAAACATGTGGGCGTAGGGTTGCCAGATGTTCTGGTTTCTCTTTTTTCTTTTTCAAAGACGGGGTCTCTCTCTGTCGCCCAGGTTGGGGTGCAGTGGCGCAATCATAGCTCCCTGCAGCCTGGAACTCCTGGGCTCAAGCAGGCCTCCTTCCTCAGTCTCCTGAATAGCTGGCACTACAGGTGCGAGCCACCACATCTAGCTATGATATTTTGATTTTTTAAAAGAAGCTAAGAGCTGCATTTTTAAGCACAACTTCCAAATTTTTTAAACGTTGGCAACACATTTTTTAAACTTTCAACTTTGCACAGGCCAAACACAGCTTGTGTGTAGGCTGAAGGTGGCCCTTGAGTTGCTAGTTTGCAAACCCAGGCTTAAACTACAGCAGCGGTTGAAGAGAACAAAGAGGTTCAGATTAGAGCAATGTGAAGGCAATAGAATCAGCACTACTTTATAGAGGACTGACTGTGGCAAGTGAGGGAGAAGGAGGGATCAAGAATAACTCTGTAAAACTAAAGACTCTTAAAATAACATGGCTTTTAGGTATTTTCAAACTTGAGAAAAGTGTTTTGGCAATTAAAAATGAAATGAAAGAGCCTCTTAAAGCAATTTATGATTTCATTTAGGTTAAAAAATACTCTTTCAAACTTTCTCATTTTCCTACTAAACGATTATACTTTTTAAGAAAGGGGCAATATTACTCATTGGGATTTCTCTACCTTCTGTGTCTGTCTTCTCTTTTAGAGACGCAGTCTTGCTCTGTCACCCAGGCTGGGGTGCAGTGGCGCTACCACAGCTCAAGGCAGCCTCGACCTCCTGGGCTCAAGCGGATCCTCTCACCTCAGCCTCCCAAGTAGCTGGGACCACAGGCAGTGCCACTATGCCCAGCTAATTCTTTTTTCTTTTAATGTTTGGTAGAGACAGGGTCTCACTATGTTGTCTAAGCTGGTCTCAAATTCCTGGGCTCAAGCAATCCTCCTGCCTCAGTCACCCAAAAAGTACTGGGATTACGGGCATGAAGCACCATACCTGGCCTTACTTCTAGTTCTATAAATGTATGAACTTTATATTTTGGCATACAGTATAATCCCAAATTAACACTATATGATTTATTTATTTATCTATCTAGTTTTTTGAGACAGAGTTTCACTCTTGTTGCCTAGACTGGAGTGCAATGGTGTGATCTCGGCTTATGGCAGCCTCCGCCTCCCCGGTTCAAGCGATTTTCCTGCCTCAGCCTCCCAAGTAGCTGGGATTACAGGCATCCGCCACCACGTCCGGCTAATTTTGTATTTTTTAGTAGGGACAGGGTTTCTCCATGTTGGACAGGCCAGTCTCAGGTGGTCCACCCGCTTTGTCCTCCCAAAGTGCTGGGATTACAGGCGTACTAAAAAATACAAAAAAATTAGCCGGGCATGGTGGCAGACGCCTGTAATCCCAGCTACTCAGGAGGCTGAGGCAGGAGAATCGCTTGAACCCGGGAGGCAGGGCTTGCAGTGAGCCAAGATCGCGCCACTGCACTCCAGCCCAAGCAATAAGGGCGAGACTTCGTCTGAAAAAGGGAAAAAGAAAAAAAAGACCAGGCGCGATGGCTCATGCCTGTAATCCCAGCACTTTGGGAGGCCGAGGCGGGTGGATCACGAGGTCAGGAGATCGAGACCATCCTGGCTAACACGGTGAACCCTCATCTCTGCTAAAAATACAAAAAATTAACCGGGTGTGGTGGCCGGCGCCTGTAGTCCCAGCTACTCGGGAGGCTTAGGCAGGTGAGGGAGACTCTGTCTCTAAATAAATACATAAATAAATAAATAAATAAAATAAAGGCAATCAGCTCTATCAGGAAATCCTAGGGGCCAGACGCGGTGGCTCACGCCTGAAATCCCAACACTTTGGGAAGCCCAGGCAGGCAGGTCACTTGACATCAGCAGTTCGAAACCAGCCTGGCCAACATAGTGAAACCCTGTCTCTACTAAAAATATAAAGAAAAAGTAGCCAGGTGTGGTGGCACACACCTGTAATCCTAGCTACTTGGGTGGCTGAGGCATGAGAATCGTTTGAACCTGGGAGGTAGAGGTTGCAGTGAGCCGAGATTGTGCCACTGCATTCCACCCTGGGTGACAGAGCGAGACTCTGTCTTGGGGGGGTGGAATCCTAAAACTAAAATTGTAGCAAAAAGTCTGGAAAACAGACTTTTTCTCATATGTCCAAGTTCGAGTTGCATGTACTGGATTTTCTTTAAAGCCATTAATAAACATGACAATAATCTACACCAGCCATGTGTTCACCTATCCCATCCCTCTACTTTCCCTCATAATCGGGAACCCCTTTTTTTTTTTTTTTTTTTTTTTTGAGACGGAGTCTCCCTCTGTCACTCAGGCTGGAGTGCAGTGGTGCAATCTCGGCTCACTGCAATCTCTGCCTCCCTGGTTCAAGCGATTCTCCTGCCTCAGCCTCCTGAGTAGCTGGGATTATAGGCGGGTGCCACCATGCTCAGCTAATAAACCCCTTCTTTATGATTCCATTGCTTTCTTTGTTATATAATTTCTTTGCATCTATCTATATTCCTAAAATATGTATATGCTTAACATTTTTATGCTTTAATTTTATAAAAGGGGTATCAAGCTATATTTATTCTTTGGAGCCGTTTTGCTTAATCTTGTAAGACTCATTCATGTTGTATGTCACTAGATCACTGTAGTTCATTGATTTCAACTGCTGTATCTTAGTCCATTGTAAGAACGTGCCGCTGTTTTTTCATGCTCTATCCCATTAACAGGCATTAGGGTTTTGCTGTGCTAAACAGTGCTGCTAAGAACATTCTTGTACATATCTGTCTCCTCTTGTATATAAGCAAGAATTTCTCACATACCTAGGAATGGAATTGCTGGGTCATAGGGTTATTGTCATAAGGTTTTTATTTGGAGCAGTGGGTTTAAGGTGCATAGTTGTAAAAATAATTGGTTATTAAATTATAACTAGTTCCAGTCAGTTATTTAAAATAACTAATGAACTAAATGAAAGTGGACTGGTCAGGTGTGGTGGCTCATGCCTATAATCTCAGTATTTTGGGAGGCTGAGGTGGGAAGATTGCTTGACGTCAGAAGTTCGAGACCAGCCTGGTCAACATAGCGAGACCCTGTTGCTATAAAAAAAAGTAAAACTGCCGGGCGCAGTGACTCACGCCTGTAATCTCAGCACTTTGGGAGGCCGAGGTGGGCGGATCACTTGAGGTTGGGAGTTCGAGACCAGCCTGACCAACATGGAGAAACCCTGTCTCTACTAAAAATACAAAATTAGCCGGGCGTGGTGGTGCGCGCCTGTAATCCCAGCTACTTGGGAGACTGAGGCTGGGAATTGCTTGAATCCGGGAGGCGGAGGTTACAGTGGGCCAAGATTGTGCCATTGCACTCCAGCCTGGGCAACAAGAGTAAAACTCCCTCTCAAAATAAATAAAATAGAAAAAAGAAAATGGGGCATGCATGGAAAAAAGAGTATATCATGAACCAAGTATTACGGTTAATCCAATTTCATGCATCTGAGGTCCAAATACAAAAA